CTAATACATGCTAATTTCTGTCTTTTCTCCTCATACGATGGTCAAATCTTCCTCACTTCTCTTTACCTGCTTCTCTCCTGGGATTTCTTCCTGAGCTTGTGTGGTGTTCCTTCTTCTTTCTACCTAGGATTTCACTTTGGATTAACTACGTTCTGGGGTCCTGGCTTGGTGCTCATACATTGCTTTAATTTATGCTTGCCTTGGAAGGTCTTCATTTCAGCTCCAGTTTTCAGGGAGAACTTTGCTGGACACGGTAATCTAGCTAGCTCGTTCTTTTCTTTCGGAGCCTAAAATACACCATCGCACATCCTCCTGGCTTGCAGTTTCTTTTGGGAAATCTGCCGTTATTCTGACAGAATTGTCTTTATAAGTGTGTACTTTTTCACAGCATACAATATTTTTATTCTATGCTCTTGCCATTTTAACTATGGTGTGTGTGAGGAGGGTTTTGTCATTTCTATTTGGGCTTCTAAATGCCTCCTGTACCGTGATGTCCATATCTTCCCCAAGATGTTGGAAGTTTTCTGATGCTGTTCCACAGAACAGTTTTTCTCTGCCCTTCGTCTGTGACTCTGGACCTTCTTTTACACTAGAAAAAGTGTCTCGTTTTTAAATCAGGCATCAGAGGTCTTGCATGTTCTGTTCACATTTTTTCCTTATCAATAAATCTTCTAATGTATTGACCTCAGTCTCCCATTCATTCTAACCTACTTGTGAGGATTTCCACTGAGTTTCATTTTCATTTGAATTATTGACCTTTTCATTATGAAATATTCTGTATTTTCCTTCTACCTATCTATTGAATTTCTCAATACATATTCTCTCCCATCTTCCTTAACTTGTTTAGTTGTTTTTATGTATTAAAATTAATTGATTTTTTAAAAAATCATTTTGAATTCTTTTAAAAATATATTTTTTAAATTTTATGTGTATGAGTGTATTACCTGCATGTGTATAACTGCACCCATGTCATGCAATGCCCACAGAGGTCAGAAGAGGCCATTGAATCCCCTGGAACTGGAGTTACAGAGAGTTGTTAGCTACCATGTGAGTGCCGGGAATCAAACCTGGGTCCTCTGCAAGAGCAGCCAGTGTTCTTAACCACTGAGCCATCTCTCCAATTCCTATTTTGAATTCTTTATATGTATTTTTCTTTCCCTTCAGTATCCTTGGAGTCAGTTACTACTAAATTATAAACTTTTGAAGGACTCATACTATCTTTCAAAAAAAAAAACTTCTTGTATTTCTATGTGAACTATATACCTTTTGATATGACTCTCTATCCACTTTTAAGTGGGGACCTTTTTAGGGAACTATCTTCTCCAGATGTATACTGGGGTATGGGATTGATGTGAAGTGTTAGATGCATTTCCAATTGAATCCATACTGCTTGTCTCTGTTACCTCCATGGTAGTCATTAAAGTGTGCTGACATAGCATACCCTATCTCGGAGCCTGAGGGTCTGCCTCCTCTGCAGGTGTCACAAGCGTGGGAACATGCAGTTGAGGAGGCAGATGCACTGTGGGCAGTGGAATCTTCGGGATCCACCCTCTGATATTACTCCTCTGGTCCTGTCAACAGTGTATGATCTGAAAGAGTCTGAGGGTGACCCGTGTTGATGTCCATCGTAGGTGCAGCATCCAGACTTCTGAATATATTTCCGCTGTTGTCGTGGGAGCGGATGGCCAGGAGTGTGTGTTCATACATGTCCTGGCCTGGCCTCCTTGGAGTCATCAGCTCAGAGCTCTTATCTCCCTATTCTTTGGGTAAAATTATTTGCTGAAGCTCGTGTGAGGACACGTTGTATGGAGAGCAAGATGCACTGATCTTAGCTGGGCTGAGGGAGTGGCGGACTGGCATAGCATCCACACTACATACGCAGTTTCAGGCTCGGTCCTCAGTACCAAATACAAAGAAGAAAATAAACAACAGCAACAGCAATAAACATCAGTGGACCAGAATAAACAATAAAAAAGCAAGTGCTAGTTAAAACACCTATAGCCCCAAGTACAGCACCCGGAATGAAGGAGGTGGGTAAAACATAAACCAGAAAGTTTTAAAGGATTATTTTAAAAGAAAAAACAATAATTAAGGTAAAAGAAAATGAAAAATAAGAAACAAATGAATATTTTAAAAGTAAAACATCAGGGGTGGCGGTGCACGCCTTTAATCCCAGCACTCTAGAGGCAGAGGCAGGTAGAGCTCTGTGAGATTGAGACCAGCTATATAGTGAGTTGCAGGCCAGTTGGGGCTACAGGGAGACACTGTCTTAAAAACAAAAGAGAGTGAGGGAAGGAGGGAGGGAGGAAGGAAGGAAGGAAGGAAGGAAGGAAGGAAGGAAGGAAGGAAGGAAGGAAGGGGAAAGACGGGGAACCCAACAGACCAGAGAAGCAAAGCCTAGGGACCCTTGAAGAGAGCAAAGGCTGAGGGACATTCACTCCTTTTTCTGCCTGATGCTGGTGTCAGTGAGTCTTTTGGGACCAGACTGGATGGAATAGCTTTGCTTCTCTAGGGGACTTTATTCAGTACAGATTGGGTTGGTTTTCCCCAGAGCTCCACTGTGCACCTTACCCTCAGACATCCCGTGCCGACAGCAGACAACAGACTGTTCTGGGTGGAGGAGATACATAGGGCCACATGCTGTTCTACTGACCACAGCTATGATTCATGAAACTAAGTCAACTGTGTGGGTTCCTCTGATCCTTGACCCTCCTTTGGTGGCCAGCTGACCCACCAGCCTTAAAGGGAAAGCAAGGAGCTCCTGCACCTCCAACCTGCATTCCAGGGCATGTATCTTCCAATGGGCTTCCTTCAGTGGTGCTCTGCCTCAAGGTAGAGGCCACGGAGACACTTGCTGTGAATGCCAGAGGGACAGCAGTTCTTATTTCTGGAGCAGCATGTGTCTCACCCTACTCCCTGTCACGGTGCCAGGTCTTATTTGAGCGCCATGGGGCTCCTCCCAGAGCTCACACTGCCTCTCTGTTTTGCATCTGTTCCTGGGTCACTTTCCTCCTCACCTGTCTCTCCCTCAGTCACCCAGCTCACAGAGAAGCTGTGTTTGGGGTGTTTGGCTTCTGAAGCACACAGCAGCTGGAAAGTGCTTGCTCCCCATTCTCCATCTTGGCCCCTCCTCAGTGTCGTTCTCGGGTTCCACACAGCACCCAGAGGCCACCCACAGCCCACTGTCCCTGCCCTGTAGGCCTCTCTGTGATGTGACAGTCATTTACTACCTGCTGACTTCCAATCCCGTGTTACCAACAGAAGACAAGTCCCTGCAGAGGGCTTGCTGGGCAAGGCCCTCAGAAGTTTCCCATCTGCCTTCAGGTGCAGCCTGACCATAGACCAAGTCTTACTCTGTCCACAGGTTCTACCTTCAAAAGCAGAGGTCACATTGCAGAGTGAAAGGTGAACATGAAGTAAAAAAATTTTTAAACATAAATATAAAATGACCACAACCATGAGTAATTTTTTGTTTTGTTTTTGTTTTAAATAACTGTTCTTTATTCTTGAGAATTTCATACATACAATGAAATATGATCGTATTCATCCCCGTTTCGCCCCCTCTCCCCGCGGCCAACTCCCTCCATATGCCCCTAATAACATGCCCCCTCCTGGCTTCACATTCTTTTTCTATAGCCCATAGTCACTTTCAGCCATCCTCATCATGATCACGGCATCAATAAATCCATCGCTCACGGGCGCTGATCTTATTTTCAGTAGTTTAAATTAGGTGCAGAGTATCCCAGTTCATCAGATAATTCTGTCAGTCAGCATAGCATTGTTTCTGCAGCTCCTTGAATTCCTATTCTAGTTAACAGAGATATTGATTCCCACAGTCTACTGCTGCTGTGATTTGTGAGGTGCTGAACAAAGGCATTACCCCCAAATAAGGCTCCATGCAGAAGCAGCTGTCCAGAGTTACCAGTCTTTAATGTATGCGCCCACCCTGTGCCCTGCATGCAGCTCTTAGTGTTATTATACCCAGGAGGATTATGATGGAAGTTTACTCTCATGCAGAGGATTATGGACATAAGATGACCCACTTAGCTGTGGATTTGTCATTTGACCACACCTATGAGGCCCACATGTGTGCTAAAAGGCTCAATAAATAAATAACAACAAATGATGTAGGGAAAGTTTGAAAATGATTAAATAAAATATAAGAACAGGAAATTATAAGCTAAGATCTGAATAAGAAATTCCTAGTATTTTGATGAGAGAAGTGTGGTGGGGACTGGGGGCATGGCTCAGCAGTTAAGAGCACTGGCTGCTCTTACAGAGGGCCTGGGTTCGATTTCCAGCACTCACGTAGCAGCTAACAACTGTCCTAACTCCAGTTCCAAGGGATCTGACACCCTCTTCTGACTTCCAGGGGCGCTGCACAACATGGGTGCCCTTACATACATACAGACAATACACGTATACACATAAAATAAAAACAATTTTTAAAAGAGAGAGAAGCATGTTTAAGGGTAAATTTCATATCCATACAGATACAGACATTAAACTTTTGTATGTGGAATTAAGTAGTGTTGTTCAAATTAAATCTGTGTACAAATTGTCTGGGCTGCTGTTGGCCGGGATGATTGTAGGTGACTTTATTTCTACCTCTAATGTGGGAGGGGTGCAGTCTTCTTCAGGAGTCAGCTGGAGGACTCAGTGAAAAACTCGTGCTAAGCTTTCAGAAGGATGTCCGCACCGCGCACAGAGAGCACTTAGTGACTGGCAACTGTTGTTATTATGACTAAGCTATGCAATTACCTTAACACGGGGCCCCAGTGAGGATCGCTCACCTTTCCTTCATGTCTCTTATGTAAGTTGCACTGAGTCTGTGAGGGGCGCACATGTGGCGTTACCCATCAGGAGTAGATTAAAAACTACTTTGGTGCCTGATTTTGTTTCTTCCTCCGCTCCCCGACTGCCTCCCTGTGCCCTTTCCTTCCGTTCTTCATCTTCTCACCCTTCCTTTTCTTTCTCAACCTTTTTTTTTCCCCAAGCAGATATTATCTTAAATTTCCGAACAACTTATGTCAGCAAGTCTGGCCAAGTTATCTTCGAAGCGAGATCCATTTGCATCCACTACGTCACAACCTGGTTCATCATTGACTTGATTGCTGCCTTGCCCTTTGACCTCCTGTATGCTTTCAATGTCACAGTGGTGAGTAGAGCCTCATCTTGCATGTGGCCTTTAAGCCTGATGTGACTACTGTGTTTGATTTTCATGTGTTCAGATGTTCAATATTTGGGGCACTCTGTGTTCCTTGGGGTTTGTGACCTCTGAAAGATGCTGAGGTGCCTAGTGACACACAGTAACCAGTTTCTCCACTTAGAAAGTTACTTCCTGTGAAAATCTTACCAAAATACTCAGAACGCAGAATATGCAAAAATGTCTGAAACTATCATTAATACTGACTCACTAAACAAACCCTTTGCTACGGACATAAGACTAAAAGCATTACTTTATATATTAGAGACATTTTTCTCCTGTAGTAATTCCTGACTCCCTCCATCTTCACTAGTTCATTATCCATCTACAGAACTAACTGAAAGCTGATGGAGACAGGGGTGCTGGATTAGACTAAGGAAATTCAACCACATAGATGGCACTGTGCCTGCATAAGCCTTGAGATCCCTGAGTTGACTAATACTTGTACTTTCAGGGTTGGAGCAATGGCTCAGTAGTTAAGAGCACTGGCTGTTCCTGCAGTGGACCTGGGTTGGGTTCTCAGCACCCACATGGTGCTAACAACCAGTCCTAGGTGCTAACAACCATCCTCTCTTCTGGCTTCCTCTGGCCCTGCAAGTACATGGTGCATTTACATTACATTCAGGCTTAACACTCATACACTTAAAATAAGAATAAATAAATGTTAAAAATAATACTTGTACTTCTTCCAGTTTCTTCTAAACCTCTTCACCATGACTCCTCACAAGAAAGTATATCACTTAACAGAAGTAGCTATTTTTACTATTTAGTGGCATTTATTTTATTTTTTAATATTTTATTTATTATTTTTTATTTTGTCTTTTTGTTATGTATATGAGTTTATTGTCTACGTGTGTAAGTGTACCCATTTTGTGCAATGCCCTTGGAGGTCAGAAGAAGAAGTCGAATCCCCTGGAACTGGAGTTACAAATGGTTGTTAGCTGCCATGTGGGTGGGTCCTGGGAATTGAACCTGGGTCCTCTGCAAGAGCAGTCAGTGCTCTTAACCACTGAGCCAGCACCATGATTGGCATTTTAGACACTATCAAGAACTTCTTTATAAACAGAGAGACTTTGGGGAAGATCAATTTTAAATAAACACTTTCTTTTTTTTTGCTAGAAAACAACCTTAGTTTATAAAAAATGTACTAAATATCAGTTAAAATTAAAGACATTTCCTTGCTAGTTAACAGCCCCTCAGACTGATCATATCCTTTATGAAGAATTTAAAGACCAAGATTTCAAGAGTAAAGAATGTGATCATAGTTCCGAATACCGACATTATCGGCTTTAAGATGAATATAGATCTTTAATCCCAACTGCTTAGTGTAGGCTTACACATTTGTTACCTGTCTTTACAATAGCAATTTTCTTTTTCTTTCTTTCCTTTTCTAAGTATGGAGGTTAAGGGTGATGCTGTTAACATGTTTATAACTTAGAGGAAAACCTCTGAGAAGAAAAGTAAGTCTATAATATCAACTGTGTGGCAGTGAATTTTTACCTAAGCTCCAAAGTGCTCTTTTAAGGTGGATCTGACTAGATAAGTCTGCAATAAAAAGTAATGACTTAGAAAAGGCCTTTGCAAAGCTGCAAAATAATCTAAAAGGATAGGAATCACAAAATGTTTATCAAAACTCTGAATTCTCCTGCCACATTGTTAAATAAATTGCTTAATATAATCATTTTCAAATTATTTGCTGTATTGCCTCTAAATACTAATTACTAAAAAAATGTTTTGTGCTCTATTTTTGTGTTTTTCTTTAGGTAAAAAATAAATAGGATAAATTCAAATAATTATACCTAACATGCAATTATGAATATATACAATAAATATTTAGTATACATTTCTATAAGATTAGCATCATCGTTGCCTTAGATTAGCAAGCCCAGTTCCCTTACTTCACAGATACTTCACCTTCACTGACCCTCTCCTCCTTCCTCTCACTGTCTTGTGAATCTTGCGTAAATGCTTTCTGAAGGCAAGAACAGAGGGGAAAACCCAGAGGAAGGAGGAAATGTCCTTTACACGAAGGACTTTTCCTGCCTTCCAGAACACTGGTCATTTTTACTGATTTTAATTGTTTGATTAGTTATTTGAGAATTTCATACAATATATTTTGATCATATCTATCCTCCCTGTCACTAACTTCTCATAAGGTTCAACCCCTTCCTCTCCACCCATCCGACTTTGTGCATTCTCTGTTTTTAAACCCACCCATTCCACCAGATACTCTTGAGTGTGTGACCTTTCATGAGTACATGATCAACCTACCAGCTATTAATTGCCAATCACTCCTCAGCTAGGGAGGAGCATTATGCCAATTTGTTCTCCATGAAAAAGTTAGTAAGGATAAAATGTTCTATTTAAACAGAAAAGCTTGTTCAAGATATTATATTTCCTTTCCAAGATCAAGAGAGTAACTCAAGAGTAATATTCTGCTGAAAAGACTTAGATATAGAAACAAATAAGCCTTCTCATTTTCCAGATCTGAAATATGTCCAGTTCATATGTCTCCACAGATGACAATCTGTAAGGTTGAGTTCTGCCTATTACTAATGGCTTTTGGCAGCTGTCTAAAATAAGTTCGTATGGGGGCCAGAGAGATGGCTCAGCAGTCAAGAGTACCGGCTGTTCTTGCAGGGAACCCAGGTTTAATTCCCAGCACCCACATGGCAGATAACAACCATCTGCAACTCCAGTTCCAGGGAATCTGACACCCTCTTCTGGCCTTGTGGGCATTGCACACCATGGTGCATTTACATACACACAAGCAAAACACTCATGCAAATGAAAAAATATAAAAATTTAAAATAAGTTCTTACATGCACCTATCAAACTCTATTGTGCATGTCTCTATGAAAGGTTCTTTCAGAGCTAAACGCTGTGATAAAAATTGTGATAGAGAAGAAAGGCAACTGGGGTGTGTGGATCCCAGTTCAATCACTTGCTGTGTGAGCAATTATTAAAGTAGCCCAAAATGGACACAAAAAGTTCATACAGTTTTTGGATAACCTGGGAAACATGTCCATTAAATGTTTGCCAAATTCTTGACATCATGGATGCTCACAGGCCGTGCTGGCTAGCCTTCTCTACTCCCTCCTTCTTCTGCTTCCCCAACCGACAGCTGGGTGATAGTCTTGTCTACTTGGTAAAAGTGAAAACTGCTACTTGACAGAGAATTTGCATGAATCCACCTTCCACAAGTAGCACATCATTCTCATTTGTGACAAATTCAGAAGAGTATCCCAGGAGGAATAAAAATCGTATCTTTTTCCCCCTGAGATTTAAAAATCAAATCAAGGCATGTATGAGTCAAAATCCTCATTTATAGCAGGAAACTGTTGCCTAGGATGGGAGTAAGTTTAACCATAACATTTTGTTTGAAATATCCCAGCAAACTCACCCTATCCTAAACTCCTGTCTCCTTCTCCTGTCTTTGCAAATGTCCTCATTCCCATAGAAGCTCAACGACCCATTCTTGGGCCAACGAGATGGATCAGTGGGTAAAGGTACTTGCTGTAGAGCCTGAAGACCTGAGTTTGATCTCTGGGTCCTCCTCTGACCTCCACATGGGCACTCTGGCACATGTATGTGCACACACACATACATATACACGCACACACACACACACAAACATATGCAATAAATAATATAAAAGCAAAAGGCTGTGTTGTGCTTGAATAATTTACAGTATTAGAACTGAACACAATTTTGCTAAATATCTGTTTATATGTGTCTTATATCTTAATGATTTGTCCGTTAATTGTTCATTGTTTACTGATCTAGAAGTTATTTCCTCCTCTCTTCCAAAGTACCAGGTAGTGCTCTACTATGTTTTGTTGGAGATGATAAGTTGGACAACAGAGGAAAGGGTTGGAAGCCGGCCGAACAGCTGGTTACAGGGCAGTCCCCTCTGCAGGCGCTGACCTAGCTGTGATTATTTTCCATAAAGAAGATACTAATTAGTTATTTCTTGTCCTTTGCTTGTGGTTCACTCCAAGAAAGTAAATAAGGTCAAGCAGTCTGTCAAACTCTATTTCCACATGAGTTAATATGCTGTGTTTTCTGCTTTAGAATATTCTCTGAAGTTCTATGAGAGTGTTGAGTGTGTGTTATGTGTACCCCTTGTCAGCAGTATTTTGACCATTCCTGTGTTCAGCACTGGTCTGTATCTTTCAATTGATCCTTAGATCCAGGAAAATAATCCTTGAGTTTTAAGTCTACAACTTAACTGTAGAAAAAGGACATGCTTTAAAATTTTCCATTCCACTTGATTTTGGTTCACAGAGCATGCCTGAGAGAATCTCGGGGAGTTTGCACCTCTACAAATGTTTTCTCTACCCGTTGCTAGTGTTGGCAGCCAGGTCTTGCAGCAGGTGACACGTGGGGCTCCTAGTTCGGAGTATGAGGTGCTCGCTTAAGTTTATGGGTCAATTTACTCGATGAAACAAGTCTTTCCAGGCCAGCCTGGGTTTCCCAAAGCCCTGTCTCAGAAAACAAACATCAAAAACATCTTAAGTTAAAGTTTCCTTTATTATGACTTTCCAGGCTTTTCACTCGATCTGTGTGAATTGCTGTCATAAAACAAACCTCTTCCTGTGGAAGAGGAAGTAAAGATGATGAAGAACATGTCTAAGGGGTTAGAGGCCCATTATGTTCAGTTCCAATACCATAATGTCTCTCAGTTGTGTATCAGAATGCACAGAATTATATATAACCAGGTAGACAGCAAGATGAATTCTAATGAATGAAGGTAAGTCTCTGCACAAAGCAATTAAATTATCCTCCACGCCCTTTAGTCTACTTCCCTTTATCCTTTCACCTCTTGATACAACATATAAAGAACAGAATCATTCATCAACATGAAACCACGCTTACACGGAATTTCAGGACCTTTCCACGTTGGTTGTAGTTTACAGAAAATTCAGTACCTGGAATGCAACCCAACACCAACCTGTGCTGCTCTGTCCCCACCACAGGTGTCTCTCGTGCATCTCCTGAAGACAGTTCGGCTGCTGCGCCTTTTGCGCCTCCTGCAGAAACTGGACCGTTATTCCCAGCACAGCACCATCGTCCTCACCTTGCTCATGTCCATGTTTGCACTCCTTGCACACTGGATGGCATGCATCTGGTATGTCATCGGCAAGATGGAGAGGGAAGAGAACAGCCTCCTGAAGTGGGAAGTTGGTAAGGGCTAGCTTTGCTAACTCTCCATTTTTAAGTAAAAATGGAAGGTTGTGTAGACTTTGGAGGATGTGAAAGATGTGCTTGTAAATATACTCATTCCATTTATTTATTATTTATGAAAATTATATTTTACTAGGTTGCATGAGGCCATGTTCATACAGATATATAACACACTCTGAGCACATCCTCCTCTATCTCCTGGTAGAACTCTTTGTTACCCTGGACAGTTTATAAGTATATTACTTCTTACTGCCAGTTTTTAAAATTCAAATACAAGTGGTAAATGTCTTCTTCAAGAACCTTGGATTGTTGTCAAAATTTAATGGGTTAAACTTTTAGGCTAAAGAAACTTGAAAAAGATCTAAGTTGTTCAAAAAGACTGACTGTAGAATCGTTGGGCTAAATAACGGTAATCTAGTCCTGATGCATTCCAAGAACAGCAAGAAGCAGCAAATCACAGGAAACAGCCTAGGCCTTCCACTACAATGTGTTAAATCATAAGAAAATGGCCCTTTACTCCTATGTTGTCTATTAAGGGAAGGTGTGTTTTTCTTGCTTTCCCCCCTTTAAAAAAATGTGAACTATCAAAAGGGCAGGTCACGTTTAGCACTCTGAGAATCTGTGACGGCAAAATGAAAGACATTATTTACAAATAGCTATAAAATTTAGTAGCCCCGCAATTCATTAAAGTTTGAGGAATATTTCTTTTTCAAGCATTATATAATTTTGTATAAATGTGTCTGAAATACTGTGCACAGGAAAAAATTTCAAACTTATGTGAAGCACAGGAAATTTATAGAAAATAAAAATTGTTAAGATGATACCTTTCTACTCTAAAATATCCACAACCTCCTCAAAGCTCTACAGAGCTGTCCTGGTACCGTAGTACCCTGTGTAAGAGGTTTTTTCCCTAGTATGACATTTAATCAAAAGAATCTATTTCTTTAGTTGGCTAAAAAATCGCACTCCTTTAATCCCAGCACTCCAGAGGCAGAGGCAGGTGGATCTGCTGTGAGTTTGAGGCCAGCCTGTTCTACAGAGTGAGTTCCAGGCAGCTGGAGCTACAGGGAGACCCTGTCTCAAAAAGACCAAAAAAAAACAACAAAAAAAAAACCCTTCACTATCTTCTCCATCAAAAATCAATCTTAAACTTTGAAAGAAGCTCAAACCTTTACAGAGGGCTAAAAAGCAGAGAGAGAGAGAGGAGAGAGAGAGAGAGAGAGAGAGAGAGAGAGAGAGAGAGAGAGAGCCAATGTGTCTACTGATGGCGGTTGCACGTGTTGTGCTGGCTGGCCCGAATGCTACCCTATCTCACCACAGGACGTATACCAAACCTTCACCAGCATCGCCGTAGGTCGAGCTGGAGAGCTGGAGGAAGGAGGTTGAAGAAACTCTATTTCCTGACCAGGTTCTTAAAAAGGGACCTCCTTTTCTGAACTGAGCTACATGAGGCAATTGATGGGCTCCAATGATTTTCTTTGCAGATTTCTTTTCTTCTTTTTCAAAGCGTGTTTTTAAATGTCTTGCTGTGGTTTTCAATTTTCAGAAACCAAGGAAAGGCGTAAATAAAACTATAGCGTGAAAGCAAAAATACCCTAGACTTACATCGATTCGTTGGGGCGGGGTGTCTGAGTGTCCCTTGACTCTAGCATTTGTCTTTATGGTAAGTGTCATCCTAGTGATTCCCAGTGACCTGCAGTAGTAGATCTCTGCACTTTGTTTGGAATCTCTATTAGAATTCTGACTTGTGGTCAACATCTGATTCATTTTTAGACATGACCTAATTTTCTTCAGTCCTCAGACCTATATGTTCATATTAATTTGAAAGGCTTGTCGTCTGAGAGTCTCCAGACAGGCAAAGTTCAGTTTCTTCACGCTCTCAAACTGAGTTATATGAAGAATGATTTTTGTTTCTCTTCTAACATGTTGGTGTGCCACAGATATGCAGTCTAGCTGTCGTTTTCCTCTCCACAAACAGGCAAAGTTGTTTATTTTCTAAGAAAACAGGAGCTGACAGCCTGAAGTGCCCAAGCACTAGCTGTGTCCTTGGTCCCAGTGTTAGGGTTCAGGGTAGGCCCAGGAGGTGGTAAACTGGACCTCAACCCTTCAAAGACAGAATGGGCATTCTGCTGTGCTGGAAAGACATCCAGCCCTCACTAATCAACTGTTAAATTTTCAATAATTTTGTTCAGATGTGTGGACCTTGATTCTCTCATTTATACTGTAAGAACCTCACCACATATTTTAAAGGTTGCTTTTGGCTTTTGTGATAAGATGAATGCAAAATTGTGCTTCCTATGAATATATGGAGTATGTATTCTTATCATGATATAATGTCCACATAAACCATTGGCTGCACTTGTGCAACATCAACTTGCTTAAGGGTGTATCCGGAAGTGCTTGTTGCAGAATCATTATGTGTTACTCAAGTAAGGTAAGGTTAATTGAGCATTTATCTTTAGAGATTAGATTTCCTGTCTGAACACCTCCCAGGATACGATTAGGAAAGCAGTAAGCCTATTATGTCTATAAATATGTGTTTATAGGTTTGGACAAGAACTTTCCCTTCCTCTAAAATGACTTGTATCATTTATTAAATAACCCACTGGCTGAGATTTATATGTAAATTAAATTATCACAGCCTTCTCCACTTGCTTTTATCATGAAGTAGCTGCAGGTTAGTTAATTTTGTTGTTACTGTGTAATTTTTTTCAGTAATGGTACATTTTACCTTTTTGATCCTATGCCATAATTTTTTTTAAAAAATCACCACATAAATAAAATCCACTTAGAGAACACATTGTTCTTTATTTTCATGACTAGCATGAAGACCAGAGTCTTCTTCTTGAGGGATAAATTCTTGCTTCATCGTCATCAATTGCCCTGAAATGATTTTATTCTTCTTTTGTCTTTCACAAGTTCAATACTTACAACCTGAGAGAGTTTTGAGATTTTGTGTCAAAACAAACCTGAGTTCATCTTTAAAAGCGGTCAATGTCGTATCTGTATATCTGTCTTTAGAAGGAAGAATTGATACCTGTTGTCTTGTTATATCAGAAACTGTGTATGAAATGAGTTGTCTGGGGTTGTGTTTCAGTTTGTACTCTAATATATTTTGATTCTGTAGTTTAAACAATTTTGAGGTTTGACTTGTTGCTTATGGAACTTTAGACTAAGGAAGACCTAAGTCCATGATCACATGAGGAAAAATCTAGCCATAGGCTGTACAAGCTCCATGGTGGAAAGGGATGGTTTGTCCTCCACTCTGCCTCCTCTGTTGGGTACAGATCTTCGCATATGGTCAGTGGAAAGAAAGAAGGAGGAAAGGAAGGAAGGAGGGAGGGAGGGAGGAAGGGAGGGAGGAAGGCAGGAAGGAGGGAAGGGAATGATTGAATGAATCAGTGTTCAAGGGCATTTGATGACTGAGCAGTCATTCTTCAAGAACCTAGACTCCCTAACTTCTAGAATTCCTTCCAATAATTCTTAATATTAGGAGAATTAAAGGGAAAGAGTATTTTGAAAACTTCCTGACTGAGCTTGGGAGAGGAACAGACAGGGTGGTCCCTTTGGGTGTGCTCATTCATTTGAAAACAGTATTTTAAAGCGTCCGTCACATACTTGATTCTGTGTTAAGTTGTTGAAGATGCCCTAACTAATAATATGCTGAATATCATGGAGCCTAAAGTCCAGGGGTGAAACAGACATATAATCCGGTGAGTGTATTCAGAGTGACATGTTCTAGCAAAGGAACACAATGGCGGGGGGTGACAAGTGAATCTGTGACATCAGCAAATACTTTTCAGAGATGCCCTGAGCGTTAAGGGTGAGTGTGGACACAGGTGCGGAGGCAAGGGCATCTGTGAGAACAAGAACCTGACTGTACTGTGCAACTCACTAGCACCTTCCTAGAGGAAACTTGGGAATGGGGGGTGGGGTGAGTTAGTGAACTAAATAGACGGGTAAGCAGCAGGGAACAGAACTTTATAAACTGTTTACACCACCTTCCATGCTTGTACTTCCTCCTATGGTAGAATGAGAGATGGTTTTCTCATAAGCAGAACACAGAACACCAGGAACAGGGAGTTCACACGGCTCCCTCTTCAGTATCTGTAAAATGGCCATAATAGTGACTGTGTCTTTGAGGTGACCAGTGTTAAGTTACGGAATGTATGTGAAGCACCTGGGGAGATGGCTCAGTGGGTTAAACACTTGCTATGCAAGTGTGAGGACCCAAGTTCAGATCCACAGAATGCACGTACAAAGATGTGGCAGAATGCATCTGTAATCCCAGCATTCCTACGGGGAGATGAGAGGCAGAGACAGGGGAATCCTGGAAAGTCAAGGGCCAGCTGGACTGGCAACGGAGGACAGGAAGCAATGTGGTCTCAAAGACAAAAGTCGTGGTTATCCTGTGTACCCATGCTCACACCCATGAACATGTACGTGCACATATACCATACAGACACAGCCAAAGTTTTTCAAAAAGAAAAAAAAAATTTAGCATTGTACCTGGCACCTAGTAACTGTTGAATAAATATTATCGACTAGAACTATTGTTATAATTTTATTATGGCAATTACTTATGAAAGAGACTAGTGAATATTTATCATTTTGTATAGGAATATTATTTAGAAAGTGTTGTCATATGGGATGGGTTTAGTTATTGTAATGAACAACAAACTATATGCTTTTATTTATAGATCTCTATACTGAAAGTTAATATAACATAGATCTAACACCCACCCTGAAATCTTGTTGAAGCATAACAATTGTTTATAGAATTTGGATAAAGTTCTTTGATGTTAACAGTTAAAATTACGTTGAAGTGACATATCACAAATGAATTTTTAATTAAATTTTCATTGGGCTGCAAAGAAATGTTTTATTTTTTAATATTTTTTTTTATTTTATGTGTATGAATGTATGGCCTGCATGTATATAAGTGAACTTGTGTCATGTAATGTCTACAGAGGTCAGAAGAGGGCATCGGATCCCCTGGA